TTTCATTCCTTCAACCACCTTGTTGAAAAAGTTGGCACTGTGATATTTGCACATATCCAATAACCTGTTGTTATCAAAGCCTTTCATGAGATTTAAAAGTATGTGTTTTTCCTTCCTGACCAGAAATGTGGGCTTTTCTCTTGGGCTTGTATTCAGCCTTGCAAACTGTTGAATAGTTGGTCAGTGTACAACATCTCAATGGCAACGCACAGAGCCGACCAGTCAAGAGGCCATGTGTCGCAAACTGTGCAAAAACCCCAGTTGAGACGCATGTTCCTACTGGGCTGTATACATGTCCAAATATTGCTGTTAAAACATGTCTTACTGAATTCAGAAAAAGGCCTAATTTGGAATATCCAAATGGAATATGTGTGTATGTGCAAACCTAGCCAGTGTCGCCGGTGTCGGCATAGTACTTGTCATCACTGACTTCACTGGGTGGTCTAGTTGAGTAAAACAGCCGCAGGCTTTTTTTAATACACATTTAATAGATTTTATATTGATAAATATTTATACACAGATGCTTTTGGAGTGTTCAGTCTGTGCTGTGTTTGTGAAAAAATGTATGAGTGTATTTATATTGAATTACTGTCAAAGATGGCAGAGATTCAGTCCAGAAACAGTGGGAGATGGGGATTTCTGCACACACACACACACACACACACACACACACACACACACACAATGCAGTTTGTTCCTGCCAAGTGGCTCCATCTTAACAATTACTGTTGTCAAGGAAACAGTGTCTGCCCCTATCTCTTTTTCCAGCACAGAGGGCAGAGGATGAAAAGGTGCACGTGTGTGTGTGTGTGTGCGCACACTGTGTTTCTGCACAAAGAGCAACCCAAACTCCTGACAGTCGAGCACCTTCAGGTCAAATACATAAATAATAAATGTATTGCTGAAACTTAAATTCTGACCATGGGCAATTAAAAAAAAACCAAAAAATAAAAACACGGTCAGTTTTATTTTCTTCCTGTCAAACGTCTCAGAGAGAGACGAGACAATTAGGTCAACCAGTGCCCCGAGGTGCTGCTGTGGCGGAGAGGAGGGGAGCCATGGTGGAGGATCAGGACAAATAAAGAAAGATAACTAAGAAGAAAAGAGATAAAACAGGAGCAGAGAGATGGAAAGAAAGATACATCTGTAGTAGAGCGAGAATCAGAGGAACTAATTCTCCACATTATTAGCACTGCAAAATTTTCCTACATTATTGCACAAAAAAAGTGCACTGTGAAATTCTCCTACATTTGCACCAAACAACATTGCATGGCAGAGATCTCTAACATTATTGCACCAATTTTGTACTGACAAAATATCCCTCATTATTACACCAAAACAAATTTGCACCGCCAATTTCTCCTACATTCTTCCAGCAGTTTCAACACTGCCCAAGTCTCCTGCATTATTACACCAAAAAAGTGCACTGTGAAATTCTCCTACATTTGTACCAAACAACATTGCACTGCAGAGATCTCGTACATTATTGCACCGCCAAATTCTCCTACATTATTGCACCAAAAATTTTCTATAGCCAATTTTTCCTACATTACTGCACAAAATAATTTAGCACCGCCAAATTCTCCTACATTATTACACCAAACCATTTTAGCAGTTCTCTTACATTTGTATCAAACAATTGTTCCCTACCAAATTTACCTGCTTTTGTTTTGCACCAAACAACTTGCACTATCAATCTCTCCTACATTATTGTACCAAAGACTTTGCGCTGCCAGATTCTTCTACATTAAAACACCAAACAATTTTGCACTGCCAAATTCTCCTACAATATTGCATCCAACAATTTCTCCCACATAATTGAACCAAAACATTTTTAACTGCCAAAGTTTCCAACATTATTGCACCACACAATTTTGCACTTCCTTTATGCATGCTTGTTCTTTGTGTTTTTAGCTTCAGATACTGAACATCATGCAGCAGCCTTATATGACACGATTAGCAACAGGGACTACCTTTAAAAAGTGGTTATGTTGAGTAGAAATACTTTTTAATCAAGGTAAAACATTTACAAAGAATGCAGCTTACTTAATTCTACCTGAAAGAAGCATTTTTGTGTATTATTTATTAAGTAATAATAATCTTTACTTGCAGAAAGGTTTGTAAAATGAACGCAGTAAAAATTCATCAAACACACTTCTCCGGAAATGAAAAATAGATGGAGAGATAAAAACAGACACACAAAAGGTGGATTATTAGCAGCTCAGTGAACTTGATGTTTAATGAGCACAAAGCCTCAACTCTCTGTCCGCTTCCTGCTCCATGAAACTGTGTTTTGCTGCTCTTTACTCTCTTTCTCTCTGCACGCAGTTGTTGCTGTTCCTGTTGCTCCAGGCTTATAGAATTGTTTGACCCATCGTTGCACAGCCCAATCAACCTCACTTATCATATCTCCTCCCTTCCCTTGTCTGATCCCTCCTTAAATGCATATGCACAAAGGAGGGAGATGCCTTGCTGAATGCACACCAGCGGCGCCTCAGATGACAGGAAGACACGCGCTTCAAGGCCGTCCTATCTGTTTGATAAATATCAAGCATGGCTTTAGGTGCAGAAAGCCTGGAAAAGCACAGGAGCTCTGGCTCAGAGCGAGGAGAGGAGGAGGAGGAGGAGGAGGAGGAGGAGGAGGAGGAAACATCTCTCTTTAATTCTCCACGGTTTCCACCAAAGACTCGCTGACCTTTTTCCTCCATTTGTAATCCCTTCAGGCACGTGTCATGGCAGAGGGGGGATAGAATGGAAGAATTTAAGATTAATTAAAGCTTCTTTTTATGTTATAGATTATCTGATAACATTGTGTGGTGAAGTCGTCTTTAAGATGCAGATGCCCACGCTGCACCTGGCTAATGTTAGTGAGTGGTTGTGAGAGTGTGGTATGCAGTTAGTCTTTCAGCTGCTTGACAGTGTGACAGCATGCAGGACTGCAGATGTTTGTCCAGTGTTTTTCTCGCTGTAAACACAACCTACGAAAAAACAGATTTGTTTTACTTGTTTCTCTTACACATTATGACATTTCCAAAACAAAATTCCTCGAGTACACGCACATAATGTCACATTATCTCCTCTCTCTGTGCCAGCGATAGTTGTGGCCAGAGGCATTATGTTTTGGGTGGTCCGTCCCATTCTTGTGAACGCAGTATCTCAAGAAGGCCTTGAGGGAATGTCCTCAAATTTGGCACAAACGTCCACTTGGACTCAAGGATGAATAGATGATGAATAGAATATGGTGTGTGAAGGTCAAAGGTCAACATCACTGTGACCTCACAAGATATGTTTCTGGGCATGACTCAACAATTCATACACTAATGGACCCTTCGCTAATTCCCGCCCCCAGGCGCAGACTGGCCAATCATAATGTAGCATTGGGCCGGCTAGATCAGGGTCTGACAACAACACAGCTGTGCTCCATTGACTCTAATGCAGTCATTTCAGATTTCCTTCATTTTCAGGCTGGTTTTGTGGATTTGGAGCTAAATGTCAAGTGTTAATGAAAAGGATCAGCACTCAGTGAGTGCTGATCCTTTTCTAGAGCACAAACTTCTTGTGTTTATTTGAACTTGTTACTTGGAGAGGTTGGAAAAAGATAAAAGTTTCTTCCCTGTTCCAAAACTAAAATCAAACCCTGAAAAGTGTAGGGTTAGCTAGGAAACATTTGATCAGATACTGAATTTACCTATGGCTAAGCCACGCCCCCTCCACTCACTCAGACAAACTATCAACATTCAGTGCCCGGCGTTATGACAGGTGTCACAGTACACTGCATTTCACAGGAGGCAATTGATGATTTTTGGAGACATAATGATCAGATGTCATTGAGAAGTAACCAAAAGGGCCTAAACTACGCATTGGAGGGATATATTCATCATTTTATTGTTGAGAAGGTCGATGAAAAGCTTAAATTACAAGCCAGAATTTACAGGTCACAGTGTACGCTTGTGAACC